AAGAATTATTTATTTACGTACTTAGGCTTCCTAATTTATTGTGTACTTACGAGTATATTGGGAATCAAAATATGTTGATTTGATGTCTTTTTATAAATAATAAAAATATTCATATATATAATTATAATTTTATATTATTTAAAATGTATGAATTATCAAAAAAACAAAACAATTAAAGCTCTCATTGTCTTTCTACTTTCCTAAAACAGTCTAGCTGTTCAGTTTATATATTATTTATATATGTTATATATTACTGGGATTTTATATTATATATTTTTAGTTTGGGAAATGTATTTTATCTATCTATCTATCTATCTATCTATCTATCTATCTATCTATCTATCTATCTATCTATCTATATTTTTAGTTTGGGAAATGTATTTTATCTATCTATCTATCTATCTATCTATCTATCTATCTATCTATCTATCTATCTATCTATCTATCTATCTATCTATCTATCTATCAGGCATTATTATTTCAAAAGTATTAAGTATAAAAGAGTAAAATAGCCATTAAAGCTTTCCCAGTCTCTTCTGTTTCTTACATGTAGTTTCTACACCAGTCTAGCTGATTAGTTTCACTTAGAAATCCTGCTTGAGTGGAGTGTAGTTAAATGTGACTGATACCGAGGCTCTAAATTTGTGTTTAATGGTAGCATATGCAAGCACATCTTACACAAAGATCCTTGAGAATTCTGTGTGTATATCACCACCGAGTGGCCGTGATGTGAACTGCATGTTAGTAAGCCGCTCACGACCCAGCGATGCCCCAGAGGAGTGTGGCTTTAGACGCACCATGATTGAAAACAGAGGAAAAAGGTCATCGGATAGGGTGGCGCTGAGCGTGTAAACCAACAGGAGGGAATACATTAAACAGAGCAAAGAACGAGGAGGAAAGAGCAACTGCTCTGTTCTCAGATCTGGAGAATTCACTAGATTATGTATATTTCCAGGCTGGCACACGCTGGGATCGAAATTCTGGTTAAACGCTGGTGTTCTCGCTCTTTCTGGGCCTCTGCAAGAATTATGCTGAATGCTGCTGTATATCAGAACAGCTCAGCTTATTTGATTTGACGTGAGACATCAGTCAGAGCTCTGCGCTGTGTGTGTGTGTGTGTGGTTTTTTAAGCCTATTCTGTCCCTGTTGGCTCTTTCTGAAAGCATTAAACTGCATCATTCCATTGGCCACACGCATCCTTTATGTGTGTTCAATTTTGACAGTGACTTTGTGTGTGTGTGTGTTCATGTGTGTACAGAAAAATACACATCAGTTCTCTTGTACCTGCTGGCCTTTCAAAAAGTTAGCATATAGAGTAATACTTTCAATTTCTTTTTTATTGCTTCTTTGTATAGCTTTCTATAATTTGACCTGAAGACAACTAGGGATGCACTAACGTATCATTTTGTTTGATACTGAAAGTTGATGTTATGGCAGATAGTTGATGATAGCTATTATTATTAAAAATAGTATTCATTTATACATTAAAAAACTTTATATGCATTGTTATATTATATTATGTTTTATATATATATATGTATATGTATATGTATATATATATAGAGAGAGAGAGAGAGAGAAATATAATATTACTATTAGTAATATTACTAAAATATTACTATTAGTAATATTACTAAAATATTACTATTTAATTTTTTATAGATAATATAATTATAGATAATTGTATAGTTTAAAGATAGATTGATTTACTTATTTAAAATGTATTAATTATCAAAAAAAATAGCCATCAAAGCACTTTAATGAAAAAATTATGCGCCTAATTAGACCAGTTTGACATTAAACATTAAAAAAAATAAAAAATAAATTATTGTTATTATTATTATTTCTAAAAATTTATATATATATATATATATTGTTGTTCAACATGATTCAAGATCCAGTCTTTTACTGCTGTCTGTTTTCTTATATATATTTTTTTTGCATGCTTTTCCAACTCTGTCATCTGTCTGGGACAGATCTGTGTATGAACAGACATCACACGAGGACAGCTGAAAGCTAACAGAACAAGAATAGAGTGACGTTCACAAAGAAAGAGTGTGTTGGAAGTGTGTTTAACACTGTCTTCTCCACAGGAGTGGCTCTGACACACTGCAGGATATTGAACCGTGTGTGAGAGAATAAACACTGAATCTTTTAGCAGAAGTCACAAGTGCCAGACAGTAGTGATGGAGTGTTTATAAATGTGAAGATTGTTTGTTTGCGAAAAATACTGATAGAAAAATAATAATAATAATAAAATAAATCTGACTTTTGTTTTCAACATAGGGTGTAAGAAATTGAAGCAACAAAAGGCGTTTGTTCTTTACATTTAACCTAGGGGTCAAAGTTGTGCATGTATTTTAACTCTGAATATTATTTCATTATCTTAATATATGCAACTTCAAGGATGTTTAGATGTTTTGTATAGAAAACACTTTGAGGATACTGATTAGAAATAGGGATTTGTGTTTGAAAGAGATTTTTTGCCTGCGTGTTTACCCTCAGGGTCATCACTGTGCATAATGCTCATGGCTTAGCTTGAATTTAACACAATACTACTTTAATATCTTATGGCAATGTTATTTTGAGCATATTTAAAGATGTTTTTACTAGAAAACAAACTGAATATACTACTGATGAATTTGTTGAATTTTCTGTTCATTTACCCTCAGGGTCAGTGCTGTACATAATGTGTGAGCTTGTGGTTGACTTGTTGCCGTTTTCAGTCCTGTCTTTCACAGATGAATACATTTATGCATCTCCAGCAGAGCTGTTAAAATAAATAAGTCCCCTCCGTTCGCTACACTAATGTCTGATTCATTCTGCACCACGTACGCTCAAGTGCACAAGAGGGACGCATCCAAGAATTCACTAATTTGGTGTTGGAGTGCAGGTTCAGAATGGAAGAGAGGTGTTGTGGGACATGTTATGCTCTTTTCATCTGCATTATGAAGTCTCACTGAAGCATATCAGAATCAAGAGCTCTACAGTTCACTTCCCCTTTACGACTGGTTTGCGCTGAAATAATTTTTAAGCTGGAGGCGAGGATATTATAATTCTTACCTACCAGTAAAAGATTACCATGAGGCTGCTGTTGGTCCTTTACTGCAATACAGATATTTATGATGTGAATAATGTAGCTAGAGTTCAGGTTTATGAGAATTTTTTTTTCAAAATGTTTTTATTCAGTCAATAAAAACCCATAAAAAAATGAATGTGCTGAAAATGTTAAAGACACAGTCGTGTCAGCAATATTCTGTCCCAGCTGTTACAATTCAAAGTTATTTTCCTTGTAAGCATGTGCAAAACTAATCGACTAGTTAATGGGCTGTCTAAACGATTAGTTGACTAGATTTTCTTCTTTTTTTTTTTAAACCCTGGATAACTAACATATATTGAACAAGTAAATAACGGGAACATTGCTTATAGCAAATATTGGCAGTAATTGATATGAATTTTGTTGTTTTACAATTATTCAAATTTAGGTCCACATTATTGATGCATTCGAAAAGTTTTATTTTTTTCCTGTTCCAAAAGGTTTCTGACAGAAATTTAAAAGCAGAAACATAAATGCATTTAATATTTTACCACCTTGTGGCCAATTCTCACAAAATTGGACAGTCAGCATCATGACAGTTAGTTACTGGCTTTTAGTTTGGCATGGAACGGAAATTGTCATCATATTTTCTTCTCTATTGTTTCGTATATCTGAGCGAAATGGCTTCTTGAACAAGAAAAAAAATATAAAATGGGGAAATGTACAAAGATTACAAAAAGACACGTTGATTTAAAAAAAAAATGTGCACAGTTAGATCTTTTATAATAAACACTGCAAAATTCAAAAAAAAAAAGGATTTCATGTTAACTTTGAGAAATTAATTTTTTGTTTGCTGAATTTTTATTGACATTATTGTTCATTTGTATGATTGATAATGTACATCAAATGTTAATTTTTAAATGTTTCACAATTACATTTTTGCATAGTAATCGTGAGGGATTTTGTAGTTGTGGCGCCCCCCCATGGGTCAAATTTGACATGTATCTTCAGAATGTTATGTTGTCTGTCTGTAACAAGTTGTCTGAAAGGGATAGGTCACCTAAAAATGAAAATTCTGTCATTAATTACTCACCCTCATGTCGTGTCAAACCTGCAAGACCTTCGTTCATCTTCGGAACACAAATTAGGATATTATTGATGGAATCTACGAAATCTCTGACCCTCCATAGACAGCAAGGATATCACCACGATCAATGCACAGAAACGTAGTAAGGACATCGGTAAAATAGTCCATGTGACACCAGGGGTTCAACCGTAATTTTACGAAGTTACGTGAATACTTGAAATGAGCGTTGTTTACGTTCAGCATGCGCGCGCGCACAGTCTGCTGAACATAAACAATGCTCATTACATTTATTACGTTCTGGGGTACTCTCCAAAATGGCAGAAGACGGTAACTCGGGGAGAAGAATTGCTGAATAAATTGTTAATATTGTTTTCTTTGCGCACAAAAAGTATTCTCGTAGCTTCTTAAAATTACGGTTGAACCCCTGGTGTCACATGGACTATTTTACCGATGTCCTTACTACGTTTCTGTGCTTTGATCGTGGTAATATCATTGCTGTCTATGGAGGGTCAGAGATCTCTTAGATTCCATCATAAATATCTTCATTTGTGTTCTGAAGATGAACGAAGGTCTTACGGGTTTGGAACGACATGAGGGTGAGTAATTAATGACAGAATTTTCATTTTTGGGCGAATTAACACTAAGTTTCGACTTTCCTTTCAGAAGATATAGGTCAATTAGTCATTGTGAACCACACCAAAAAAAATCTATTTGGTTATGTGTTAAAAACCATTCAAAAATTCCAAATTGTTTTGATGACACGTTTTCACGAGTGTCTTTAGATGATAAATACCAGATATCACCCGGAATGGACAAACTGGAAAAATTCCCTGTTTACCCTTGTCCCAATCATTTCTGTTTCTTGTCATCCTACAGGAAGTTCTACTACATTACCCTGTTACGGGACCCCGTGTCTCGGTACCTAAGTGAGTGGAGACACGTCCAGCGCGGGGCCACGTGGAAAACCTCCCTGCACATGTGCGACGGGCGAACGCCGACACCAGAGGAGCTGCCCCCCTGCTACGAGGGCACCGATTGGTCGGGCTGCACATTACAACAGTTCATGGACTGTCCGTACAACCTAGCAAATAACCGACAGGTGCGCATGCTGGCCGACCTCAGCCTGGTGGGCTGCTACAACATGTCCTTTATCCCGGAGAAGAAGCGTGCGCAGGTGCTACTCGAGTCAGCCAAGAAGAACCTACGAGACATGGCCTTCTTCGGCTTGACCGAGTTCCAGCGCAAAACGCAGTACTTGTTCGAACGGACCTTCCACCTCAAGTTCATCCGGCCCTTCATGCAGTACAACAGCACGCGGGCCGCCGGCGTGGACCTGGACAACGACACGGTGCAGCAGATCGAGGAGCTCAACGACCTGGACATGCAGTTGTACGACTACGCCAGGGATCTTTTTCAGCAGCGCTACATGTACAAGCGACAACTCGAGCGAAGAGAGCAGCGCCTAAGGTTATTCTCGTAGCTTCTTAAAATTACGGTTGACCCCCTGGTGTCACATGGACTATTTTACCGATGTCCTTACTACGTTTCTGTGCTTTGATCGTGGTAATATCATTGCTGTCTATGGAGGGTCAGAGATCTCTTAGATTCCATCATAAATATCTTAATTTGTGTTCTGAAGATGAACGAAGGTCTTACGGGTTTGGAACGACATGAGGGTGAGTAATTAATGACAGAATTTTCATTTTTGGGCGAATTAACACTAAGTTTCGACTTTCCTTTCAGAAGATATAGGTCAATTAGTCATTGTGAACCACACCAAAAAAATCTATTTGGTTATGTGTTAAAAACCATTCAAAAATTCCAAATTGTTTTGATGACACGTTTTCACGAGTGTCTTTAGATGATAAATACCAGATATCACCCGGAATGGACAAACTGGAAAAATTCCCTGTTTACCCTTGTCCCAATCATTTCTGTTTCTTGTCATCCTACAGGAAGTTCTACTACATTACCCTGTTACGGGACCCCGTGTCTCGGTACCTAAGTGAGTGGAGACACGTCCAGCGCGGGGCCACGTGGAAAACCTCCCTGCACATGTGCGACGGGCGAACGCCGACACCAGAGGAGCTGCCCCCCTGCTACGAGGGCACCGATTGGTCGGGCTGCACATTACAACAGTTCATGGACTGTCCGTACAACCTAGCAAATAACCGACAGGTGCGCATGCTGGCCGACCTCAGCCTGGTGGGCTGCTACAACATGTCCTTTATCCCGGAGAAGAAGCGTGCGCAGGTGCTACTCGAGTCAGCCAAGAAGAACCTACGAGACATGGCCTTCTTCGGCTTGACCGAGTTCCAGCGCAAAACGCAGTACTTGTTCGAACGGACCTTCCACCTCAAGTTCATCCGGCCCTTCATGCAGTACAACAGCACGCGGGCCGCCGGCGTGGACCTGGACAACGACACGGTGCAGCAGATCGAGGAGCTCAACGACCTGGACATGCAGTTGTACGACTACGCCAGGGATCTTTTTCAGCAGCGCTACATGTACAAGCGACAACTCGAGCGAAGAGAGCAGCGCCTAAAGAACCAGCCCCTCTTCCACTTTCGTCGGGGGCCCAGCTCCGATCCTGCTTTCAGGGATGACGTGCCGGAGTCCGAGGCGTCCCGATTACCCACGGAGGACTACATGAATCACATCCTCAACCGCTGGTAGCAGTGCTGGGGGGAGGGGGATGGAAAATACAGGTTGACGAGGAGGAAAAGGCTGCGATCCCCAGGTCAAATCAAGTGGAAGAGGAGCACCACGAACGAGAAAGAGACAGAACTTTAGCACCACCATCAAATACGCCCCTCCCCCCTTCTGTTGTGCTCCAGGATATCCTGCGGACGTCTCGGAGAGGAAGGACTCAAAATGCGGGATGCTCTTCGTCGCTACTGCGAAGACAGTCAGAAATGACTGACTAACTTAAAGCACTGAACCTGAACTTAAAACTAAGAGGTGAAGACTTCTACTGGCGCATTCGCCCACGGAAGAAAAAATAAAAACATACATAAAAATTATCGGAATTATATTCACTGCAGATTTTAAAAGAATGAATCGAATGAAATTGTATAGAGGTATTTGCTTAAATGTCTGCTGCCATTTCAGCCATGAATTTGTGACGATAACGGTCTGTCTCTTTATTTTTTAGTTTGTTATGGTCTTATTTCTTTTAATTATTTTTAAAAGGGATTTTTCGTCCCTCAAAGAGGTAAAACTCACAGCACTGAGACCAACAGAGCTGCCTAACACTTATTGGATGCAATTTATTAGCTTTTCATAATCAGTGAAGACTTGAAAAGGTGTGTTCTGTAGTCCTTTTTCGTGTGTATTTGCACGCCGGTTGCAAATTCCGATGGACGGACAGACAAAGCGTGGACCATAGCCATTATTTAAGCTTTCAGCATACTGTATGCGAAAATCCCGTGAGCTAAGTGTACTAATATAACCTTACCGAATGTTAAAGGTGTTTCGTTTGTCCAATCTGACCAATGTCTTGCGTGATGTTATTGGCCGACACAAATTCGAAGTTGTCATCAGCACCCAATTTCTTGGTAGCTGAAGCGGGAACCTGGTGGAGATCCAAAGAGGAAACTGTGTCTTATTTTACACTTAGTAAGAATGGGCTCTGCATTTCTAAGCGAAGTCGTGCACTCTAAATGCGATTGACTCGGTAATGACGCCTGTGTGTCAGTCAATAACAGGAGCGTCGTAGAGTTTGTGTGTAAGTGTGTGTGAAAGACAGAGCTTGTGAAACGCAAGAGCAGAATGAAGAAGCAGCAAACGCAGCCTTTATAAATGTCACCACCATTCCCAATTCCCAGAGACTACTTAATACTATTATTTAGTATGCGGGTGGATGGAGGATGGCTGTGCGTGTTTGAGATTCTGAGCAGGATGACTGTTTTAAGTATGCAAGCATGTTTGGGTGTTACTTTTTTCTGTACGAATGTGTGCGAGCGTGAGTTTCAGAGTAAACAGTATGTGAATAAGGTATCAGGAAGAATTACCCCACTGGAAATGTGTCCTTTCTGTTTAACCGACTCTTAAGGTGTTATGATGGACGTTTTGACTTAATGCTCTGCAATGGGAATTTGTTTGCTCAGTAACCATAAAGACAGACTACTCTTCACTTACTGCATATTTAACCAAACCTAGAGTGTTATGTTATGTTTTTCAGGAACAAACGTCTTCTCATGACCGATCCGCATAACACATGTATGATCTTTATGAAGGCAGCCCTTTATTAATATCTCAATGCGATGCTGTCATTCCCTTCAGCTGATATGCTCTTAAAGGAAACACTCAGTGGGTTGTAGTAATTGTTGGTCTCATTGCAAAATAGTTTGGTGACCAATTTCTCAGTCTTAATTCAACAATGGCATCCAGCCAATCAGAATAGAGTATTGGTGTGCTTTAAAAATGGTCACTGCATCCGACTGTCAAATGTTAGGCCAGAAACATACTCTACAGTCAAAACTCAAGGGGTCGACAGAGTCACCTTCAAATGTCTGTACCATTAAACCGTTGTTATTCAGTTAACTAGCTATAGATGGTTTAACTTAGCTAGATTCTCTTCAAACTGTTGCTCAGCCATGACGGTATAGTTGACCTGAAAGAGAAAACTATGCTAAAGCTTGCTATATCGCCCCTTGTGGTAATGCTAAGAATGCAACACACATCTGAGTTGCATTATCAATTGTATTCTGACTGTTGTCAGAACAGTCTCTAAAATGAAGCTATAGGGGCAATTACCTTCACCTACTCCTCTAGAGTATGTTTCTGGACTTATATGTGAGTCTAGCAAATCGACTTCAACTCTTAATGAAAGAATGTGTGTTTGTAAGCGTGCGAGAGCAGCACTAGTGAATCCCTGAGCTCTGCTCCCGGGTGCATTTATTCAACACATCAAGTTCATCTGCTCTGGGTATTTTTCTCATAATTTCAACAATGGATCGTCAAATACACCATTAAAAAAAAGATTTCATTTTTATATAAACGCCAGTGCTTCCTGTCTTTATTTTTAAGTGTCTCTAAGCTCACACAAGCACATTTAAGGCACAGTATATCATGGATTACTTTCTATTTTAATGTCTATGGGCGTTGATTAATACAGACAGTAAGTCTGACTCTTCACTCGGTTTCTGAAAATGAATGAAAAAGTTTTAATAGTAATGCTTTTAAGTGGAAGCCTTGAAGGCATGTGAGCAGCATCATGAATAAAGGTGTAAAATATATGACTATTAAGTTTCTGAAGTACTATTACACTTAAATATTAAACGTCAAAAGAATGATTTGCCAGCCCTGTGTATGCAAAGGCACAAAGTATGTCAAAAGTCCATTCACCTGACGATGGCCATCTTGAAAAATGTGGAACTACCCCAGGTTAAGTGCCAAAGTACAATAACTTGAGAATTCGTGAGTATGATTATTATGCTTTCCTCTGTTTCCCCATATAATAATATATGTCTGGATTGATTTCATATGGAGTTGAATAAAATGCATTGCAAATAATTAGCATAAACGGTCACTTCCTGACGACACATTAAAAACCTGTTTAATTATTATGAATTAAAACTATTTTCCCAAGAAGACCTTTTGATTAAAGAAATTAAAATGTATATGTATTATAAAAATAAATTATTTTCTTTCTAATTAATTGCCATTTTTGTTGTTGTTTAACATGGAAAATTGGCAATGTTCATTCAAACTCCATTAATATGTGTGTATATATACCGTTCGAAGGTTTGGTATACATATACCAAATATATCTATATACACTGAACAAAATTATAAACGCAACACTTTTGTTTTTGCCCCCATTTTTCATGAGCTGAACTCAAAGATCTAAGACTTTTTCTATGTACACAAAAGGCCTATTTCTCTCAAATATTGTTCACAAGTCTGTCTAAATGATGGTCGTGGATGAATGGCACAACAATGGGCCTCAGGATCTCATCACGGTATCTCTGTGCATTCAAAATGCCATCAATAAAATGCACCTGTGTTCGTTGTCCATAACATATGCCTGCCCATACCATAACCCCACCGCCACCATGGGCCACTCGATTCACAGCGTTGACATCAGCAAACCACTCACCCACATGACACCATACACGCTGTCTGGCTTCTGCCCTGTACAGTGAAAACCGGGATTCATCTGTGAAGAGAACACCTCTCCAAAGTGCCAGACGCCATCGAATGTGAGCACTTGCCCACTCAAGTCGGTTACGACGACGAACTGCAGTCAGGTCGAGACCCCGATGAGGACGACGAGCATGCAGATGAGCTTCCCTGAGACGGTTTCTGACAGTTTGTACAGAAATTCTTTGGTAATGCAAACCGATTGTTGCAGCAGATGTCCGGGTGGCTGGTCTCAGACGATCTTGGAGGTGAAGATGCTGGATGTGGAGGTCCTGGGCTGGTGTGGTTACACGTGGTCTGCGGTTGTGAGGCCGGTTGGGTGTACTGAAAAACAAAAGTGTTGCGTTTATAATTTTGTTCAGTGTACAAGGATACATTGCATTTATCAAAACTGACAATAAAAGTGATTTTAAAGGCTCATGTGACACAGAAGACTAGGGTAATGGCTGCTGAAAATTAAACTTTGCCATGACAGGAATTAATTACATTTTAAAATATATTAAGATGGAAAACAGTTATTTGAAATTCTAATAATATTTCACAATATTACTGTATTAAAATACAATTTAGCTTGTGCATAAGAGATTTCTTTTGAAAAACGTAATATTACCGATCTTAAACTTTTAAGTGGAATTCTGATATTGTGATCATATACAACTAACGTGATTTCCATTTTTTAAATATTGACAGTTCAATATACCAAGTCAAAAATGATGGATGCATGAAAATGCACAGTAGGAATGACCCTTCGACCCCACACGCACACACATACACCAGCGCTGTCGTGAGGAGCTCAAACATAAAGCTGACAGACAGCATCACACACACACACGCAGCAGACATCAGCCGCTGAAGCCCAGGCTACGCTGCAGAAACGGCTGACTCAGACGAGAGCGCTCTCCCTGGTAATTACAAAATACCTCCTGGCACGGATATCAAGACACGCTTCTTTGTCCTGTTGAATTGAACGGCAGAGAAGCAGCGTATCAGCAGCCATTATTGTCTGAAATGGATGGGAGTAATCACTCCGGCTCCTCTGAGTTCTGCAGGGGTAATGAATTGCCACACTGTGTCTCTTGGACAAGAGCCACGTCGAGAATCACTTGCACCCAGGCTATTGTTCTGCCAGGATATAATAAGAATTCCCAGTATGACAAATACAGTATATAGAGAAAAGATGAAGTGGCTGGGAGAAGAATTAGGAGAATTTCTATAGCTCTGCACAATAAGTGTTGAACCTAGATGACGAAGGGCTACAACATACTTTTGTTTTGAGCTTAACAATTCACCATTGGCCTCAGCTTTTTGACTTCATTAAAACAAAAAGAGACCAAAATTATTCAAGCATGTTTCCATATTTTCAGGACTGGAGTGGACCAGTAATTTTAAAGTCATAGTTCACTCAAAAATGAAATGTACTTACCTGCACCTTGTTCCAAACTTGACTTTCTTTCTTCTGTGGAACACATTTCATCACTTATAATGAAAGCCAGTGGGGTCCAATATTGTTTCAAACCCCCTTTAAAAGTTTATTTTACATTCCAAAGAAGAAAAACGTCATACAGGTTTGAGTGAATATACATGATGGAAAAACTTTGTTTTTGTTGAACTGTCCTTTTAAGCACTATATATATATATATATATATATATATATATATATATATATATATATATATATATATATATATATATATATATATATATGTATATATG